AGAAACCAATCATTACTGTTTTATTGAAAAGAATTGCTTTAGAAAAGAATTCAGTTGATAGTAAAATAGTTTAGTAGGTACATTTTCATTCAAGATCAATGGAACAGTCCACTCCCCCCACTCCAGCTAAAAAAATAAAGAAATGAAACTATGCTAACTAATATAAAGGGTAACATAGTCCATCTCACGTGTCTTGGGTCTTCAAAGGCTGATGTTAGATGAAAACCAGTCCATGGTAGGAAGAATAGTCCATTTAGGGAAAAGCACGTGTCTGCCCCTTTCTCAGGCAAACTCCATCTTTCTTCTCCTCCTCACTCTTCCTTCTTCTTCCCAGAATGCCTACTGGGTCTTGTTGTCCCGCCTAACTTTCTCATGGAGCTTCAGTTGTTATCATTCTTTTTAGCAGAATTATTTTGACTACGAAAGTCTCTGCTCTCTGCTCACCTTAGCAACGAGATAACCAGAGAGCGAAGCTTCTCTGAAACAGCATGTAAAACTTTCCTACTACAGAACAGACTTTAAATCAAAATGGATGCTATTGGGACAATTTTAGGACTACATATCCCACTCTAATACACATAAAAACACAAATCATCACACTCACTTCCCCAGATCCTCCCAAGCAATGCTCCTCTGCATGCCCACTTCAGAGGAAGCCAGGATACAAGGGGCTGAGCCTTTGGGCTTTCTTCACAGTGGCACCAAGACTCTGGAATCACCTCCCACTGGAGCTGCACTTGGCTGCCTCCTTCCTAACATTCAGAAAGCTTCTGAAGATGTTGTTTTACAGAGAAACCTTCCAATATAACCCTGCCTGATTTTTATGCCTTGCACACTGCCCTGTATTTGGAATCAGGCCTCTTGTTGCAACTGATTTTATCTGTTGATTGGTTTTATGTAATTTGTGTTTTATTATTTATTATAACCCAGCATAGTGCTTTGCACTAATAGGGCAGTATTCAAATCAAATGAAATATATAAATAAATAAGCAAAGGATTGTGGCCAGTAGAACAGTTTTCCTCTTCCTCTCCCCTCTCTCTCCACTCCCTACTGTCTGTTCCATCTTGCTGCAAGTTTTCCCTTATGTAAAATTGCTTTTAATTACATTGTTGTTGTTTTTTGTTGTTGTAAGCTGCCTAGAGTGGTCTTAATTGATTAGATAGGCAGGATATAAATAAAATAAATAAAATAAATAAAATAAATAAATTGTCTTTCTACAGGAGGTGTATGGTTCCAGTATACACTGTCACCAAAAAAAAAAAAAAAAAAAGGTGGGGGTATACTGGAACTATGTACCTTTTGCAGAAAGAAGGAAGAAGAGAATGGTTGTTATTAAGAACTTTGGTAACTTCTTTGAAGGACCACATTCAAGTGTGGAAAAGCCAACAAATATTACTAATCAGTGGTTCTAGTTACCGTTGAAACTGGCAGTGCTGTGTGGTCAGGGTAAGTTCGTTTGTTTAGGTTTGAAAACCCCCTGAGTAAAGAATCTTTTAATGCAGCATAGCTGTGGGAGATAACAGAGGACCATCAAGCTGTTTTCAGCTAGAGACAGCTGGCTAGAATGTTTCAGATGTAGCAATGGAGAAATTCTTCAAAGCCAGAAGAAAAATGGAAATACATTGTGTTGGGGACGGGGCGGAGTGGTTGGGAGGATAAAAGAGTTCTTTGTTCTATTGTTCATAGTTAGGGTTGGCAGTCATTTTGAGCTTCAGATATGACATAGTAACATGGAGAGGGCGGGAAGAATCCAATTTTTGACCTTGCCCCTAAGATGCAGCTATTAGTACATATTCTTATGGACTAATCACAATTAAAATGAATAAATGAGAGATAAATGCACAGTTGGTATTTGTTTTGGGGAGCCCAGTCCAAATTATCAGGAGGGTGAGAAAAAGATACAATTGTAGGAGGTGCAATAAAAAAAGTATCTGTTCCAAGTCCTGTGTGTCCTTAATTGAACAGGACTTTGTATCATTACAGCCTAACAATTCTTGCCAGCAGGCCACAGACAACTCCCATCACACAGTGGAATAAGACACACTTGGAAATGCCAGGGATCAGACCTGGCAGTTTAAATGTTCAGTGGAACAAAGATATCGTAACCTCTTGGTGGCATACCATGAGGGATTTAAAAATACCTTTGTTGACAGAAAATTCCATGGTCACAGCACCATCTCTCAAAAGGCTTTCCCCCATATTCTGGCCAGTTGTGCCTCTATTACCATCAGGAAATATCAGGAGCACATCCGCTTCTAGATTTACTGTAGTTTTAGGTAGCTGGATATGAAGGTTGGTAGTTCAGTTCCCCACTGTGCCTCCCTGACAAGGGCTGGGCGTAAGGATCCATAGGGTCCCTTCTAGCTCTGCAGTTCTAAGATTATTATTGTTGTTGTTATTATGTATGTAAAAGAACCATCAGTTGAACAATGTCATCCCACAGAAGGCCACCTCTTATATATGAAAAGGCAGAATAGATTACCTTTCTTCAGGCCTTGGAAATTCTAATTGTGGGAGAGAAGAGGGACACATGTGCTATTCCATTTCCCTTCAGCCCTAATCACCCTGTGTCCTTGATGGGGAAATTTGAGCAAAGGGCACAACTATGATGCTGGTGACAGTCTACCATGTGGTTGGGTGCCCTGTGCAGCCAGAGTTCTCCATGTAACAGATCAGTATTTCCCAACCTTTTTCAAGTTGTGACCCACTTTTACAATAACCAAGTAACCTGCGCCCACCCTGGTACATTTGCATTTTAAAAGGCATGTCTTAGAAAACACATTAAAAATAGATTGTTCAGAATATATTTCTACCCTAATATATCTGTATTAAAGAAATAATACATACTTATGTATTATGAAATAAAACATAATGGAGGGGCCTTTGAATCTGCTTGTAACAGATAAAATTTGAGATGAAAAATATGTCAGCACACTTTGAGTTTAATTTACAATTTTGGGTGTGAAAATGACCCTCTTTTCTTGTCTCTTCTGCACAAAAAGTTCCCTCAAAGAAGAGCCCATTCCCCTCAAGCCAAAATAAACATCTCCCCCATGGACCTAAGAACTAACTAAGAACTCTAGTTACCTGCAATTTCGGTTCAGATTAAAATAATCTGTGGGCCAAGAGGATAAAATAGCATTATGTGTATAATATTTAATATAATAAATATAAAAGAATTGCAACTAAAAATAATTACTGGGACCCCCCCCCCCGGAAACCATTACCCCCTTGGGGATCCTAACCCCCAGGTTGAGAACCAATGCAAAACACTGTCCCTGCATCCTATTGGGTGAGGTTGCAGCTTCCTTTCAGGCCTTCTGGTTCAACAGGGGAAGGTCACAGCTGAAGGGGGTGGGCCAGCATATGCGCCCCACATTTTATCTGCACATTTAGAACTTTGAATGCCTGAAGTGGGCTGGATTCAACTGGAGATTGACCTTCCACAGTAAGTCACAATCATATGAGGGTACAGAGTGGGTTGTATGACCCATGGAATGTAAGTCTCATCTGAATGCATGACAGCCTGATCAATCAGTTTGACTTTTGGATGAAATGACTTAACCCACACAAACCCCACCATATTTGAAATGTAAAACACATCTCCTTGTGGAGGGACTGCAGTCTCTCCTGCTAATATAAATGAAGAATAAGCTTGTAAGAGTTATTTTCATCTCATAACAAAACGCTGGCTCTATGGCTTGAAGAGCGGGATGAGCGCCGCCCCCTAGAGTCGGACACGACTGGACAAAAATTGTCAAGGGGAACCTTTACCTTTTACCTTTTAATATCATGAAGGGCAAAGTTGATATTTTCCTCAAAGGTGTACTGGTCGTTATTTTTACATGATTGGGTCTATAACATGTCACTGTAAAAACCACATTAAATATTATTAGATTGTGGTGGACATGCTTTCGGATAAACAAGTGTGTTTATATTCAAGTGTTATATGTGAAGCTGCTGCTGAGCACCCTTTTAAATTTGATGAATGAGGCAAGATCAGAGGTCACATATGAGTCAAACTATACATTACAGTTAAATTGTAATTAGAAATTGTATTATTTTTCAAGAGAGGCAAATTAGGCAGACTTTATAATCTGAGAAATCAGACGTGCAGTAAAATCCAGTTTAACTCCTACAGAAAAGTGACAAAGCAAAGCAAATTAACTTGCAAATAATGGGAGTGGAGAAAAGCTCCTGCTGTGACAATCACATCTTTCAGCTCTTGGGGAATTTATTTGTATAATGATGGATTATTTGTAATGTATATTTCAGCCCTCAAATGAAACCTGAAGTCCCTTTGCACACACAGACTCCCACAAGCACCTGGGAGCAAAAGGCACACCCTCAGTTCACTAGCTGTGAAAGGAAGCATGACGTATACCTCTTTTATACATTATGACTTTAAAATATGAAGAAGAGTTTGCCTTTGTATCTGAATTTAAAAGTATAAATAACAAATTGCCATGCTTAATTTTCCACTGTGAGATGCATACCACAGTTTTTTTTAAAAAAAAGAGATTGCATAACAAGCTGCCCTTTGTCCCATGCCAATGTATCTGGCAAAGCAGCCAACATGCAATATCCATTTGATGTGGCCCTTTCTTTATATAGGTTGTTGATTTGGAGCATAAAGGAAAAGACCACATTTTCCATTCTCTGGGATGTTCAGTCCCACATGACATCATAAAAAATGTGTCAAGATACATCTGAAATGAAAGATTTATGTTTCCTTTGTGTAATACCAACTCCAGCTGGGCTTACTTTTGAGTTAAATACCACCTCAGTCAAAGGATAACAAATTACTCTAACCCACAAATAAGTGAGCTTTGACTAAGACCTTCGTTTGTTGTCGCATTGCCATAATATGTAAACCAGTGCTGGAATGAACCCTTCATGTCAGAAGTTCTAGACTGAGACAAAGCTGAATAAAAATAAATGTGTAACCAGTTCTTATGTTTTTCTTCTTTTTTATGTTTGTGCATCTTTCGTCCACTAGTCCATGAGTTTAATTGAGATCGGTAACCCTTCTCAGAGTTTAGAGAATGTGTGTCGGTGGGCATACCTACAACAGAAACCTGACACTGGGCATGCAGAATATCATGATCACGCAATTTTTCTGACAAGGCAGGATTTTGGCCCCTCTGGGATGCAAGGTAAGTTTTGTGCAGAAAAGCATCCCTTCTTTCAAGATATAATCACTAACTGGATTGTGCTTTTCCACTGGAAACAATAAGCCTTGTGAGAACTTAAAAGTGTAACACTCTAATAATGGTCTAAGTGTCTAAGAACAAGAGCCCATTTCATCAGATGCATAGTTATATCCTGTAACTTACAGCTATAATTTATTGCCATCAGCATTTCAGTTTCCTCAAATTTCACCATTTATATCCTTCTCCTGCCTGGCTGTGTTTATGGGTTTATTTGTATTTAAGCAGCAGATTTGCTGTCCTGCCTTTTTGGTGTTCATGCATCACTCAGTGGAGCTAACAATAACTAAAACCAAATATAAAATGCAATGGAAGTCTAAAGCAACAACAACAACATAAAACAGGCATACCTGTAAGTTACAGGATAATGCTACTTCTATCTGGTGAAGAGAGTTGTGGCCCATAAATGCTTGTGCTGTAACAAATTTGCTGGTCTTCAAGGTGCCAACCACAAAAGTCTTTGTTTTATCTAAAGCAGGCTAATCTGGCTGTCCCTCCAGAAGTCATTTAGTGAAAAGAAGCCCATGACATTTGCCTCCAGAAAGAATGCTTGCCCCATTGCTATTTCTCTGGCACCTGGCCCACAGGAAGTTGTTTCTGACTGGTGTAAGCCAAATTGACTTTTCAGCTTCAAAAGCATTTGCAGCATGTGTATATTTTTTTAAAAAAAATATATAATTATTTTACTTAGCCAAACCCAAGAAATATAACAAGTTAGCAGAGTGGCCAAAATACACAGAAAAACCTTTGGAAACAGAGTTTAAGTTTCTCAGTTGGAAAGCATGATCATTTTTAAAAATATAACTCTGACTGAAGAGAATAGTTTATATTCAGGAATTTCAAGAAGTATTGGACCCAAGCTAAGGGACTGATAATTTCTCATGGAAACATTATCTCTTTTTTAAAAATGAGTTAAAATTATGGTTCATTGTCCTCTTGACTTTCCCAAGTTATGGTCTGCTTAGATGATCAGTAGTTTGTAGTGATACATGAATTCACTAGCAGTCATTTTAAAGGCGGCATGATGATCCAAATATATGAACATTCACATTTTAACTATACAAAATCATTTCCCAAAACAGAATTTTTTTGTTCTGAAATATTTTTCTGGAAGCACTGTCCTCATTTAGAAGATGCAATATTAAATGTCGCTGGGTCCTCACCACCAGTTTTAAAAATTTCATTGAACAGAAGGGGGGAGGGAATATGATTTCTCCTCACATCTCAAAATGAGAAGGCCTTGGTTGCAAAGTCAGTAAGTTAGATAACTTCCAGAACAGAACTCTCGGTGCTTTGAAACATTGTATTTGAGCGTATTATACATGGACCAAAATTCTCTTACATAGTTACACTGGCATGCTGCCTCATTTAGAATATTGCATCTTCTAAATGAGGACCGTGCTTCCAGACAAGTGTTTCAAGTTCAGAAGGTACCATAGACAAACTGAGACACGTGACTCATTATGTAACTGATAGTATCTATGGTGAGTTCTTAGCTGAAGGCAATTTGCCTATAAAAGTTATACTATTAACACTATAGCAATATAAAACCGCAAGAAGATTTGGGCTATGGCTGCGATCACCCAAAACAACTGCATGAGATATTTTCTGAAACGTTCTATAAATGCTCCTGTTTGGACCAGGGTGGGTGGGTGTTCGGATTTTTTTTGCTGTTGACAGACATGGCCTTATATTTCTGCTGTTGCCAGGCTAAGTAAGATGTTAGTACATTTTTGGTTTAAATTGCTGAATGTAGATTACCGTTGGCTCAGAAAATAGTGCATTGAAGAACAAACAAAGACTAAGGCAGACCTGGGCAAAGTACAGCCCTCCAAGATGTTCCTGAACTGTAAATCCCAACATTCCTCACTGTGTGGGCTAGGCCCAAATCTCCTCACTATTGGCTGTGTGGTCTAGGAATTATGGGAGTTGCAGTTCAGCAACATTTGGAGGGCCGCATTTTGCCCACCCCTGGAAGGTTATGGACAAATGGTTCCAGTTCAGTTGAGGCATCCTTAAAGCTTATCTTCCTAATTATGAATGTTCTGTGAACAAACTCTGGAGTGCCTGAGTTTTGCATAGAGCACAGCTTCCGTTCATTGAAATGGGTGAGGTGCTTCTTTTCCATTTCCCTTTCATTGAAATAAGATTTCCAATGTAAAGATGATTCCTTCACGACATCCTTCAGTATTTATTTCACTTTCATGTTCTTAAATCTCAGAGTCAACATTTTTACTCCTGACAGGCTATGCTCCCGTTACTGGCATGTGTCATCCAGTGCGAAGCTGCACTCTTAACCATGAAGATGGCTTCTCCTCAGCATTTGTTGTAGCTCATGAAACTGGGCATGTGTAAGTAGTATATGCATGATGTTAGCCTGAGTGGCAACATTATGTGATTGGTAGTATGTTGCTCTAATGAGACAATTGGTTTTCTGGAGCTTTCATTGCAATGCAGTGTTGGCCCTGAGCAATAGAATACATTTGAAGATTGGTTCACTTTGTTGCAATACATGGGGAAACTTAGTCCAGGGCAGGACGATCAGTGCATTGGTGCTTCTGCATCTGGAACACATTGCTGGGTTGCTGGGAATGTTTTCTAAGGAGGACTGTAAAGATTTTACATTCTTACCATAGATTCTTTAAAAAGTGAGAGTATTCTGAAGAAACTGAAATGAACTGCCTTAACAAACTTTGTTGTGCCACCTTTTCCTCTAGATTAGGCATGGAACATGATGGTCAAGGGAACAGATGTGGAGATGAAGTCCGGATGGGAAGCATAATGGCCCCTCTTGTGCAGGCTGCGTTCCATCGTTTCCACTGGTCTCGATGTAGCCAGCAAGAGCTGAACCGTTATTTGCAGTGAGTACAAGAATGTAATGGGATCTGCTCTTTGGGAGCATATGATTTGAATGGAGTATTTACATATTAGCAATTATTACTTTATACAGTTTAGAGTTTAAAGAGAAAACAATCCCACATGAGAAAACCTGAACTACTTTTAGTAGCTAAAA